CGTTCTCAGCGACATGCTTGAGTGTCCAGTGCGTCTTGCCAGCACCGGGCAGACCCACTAGCAGAATAACCTCGCACTCCTTGCGCGAGGCAGGACGCTGAGGACCGGGAACCAGTTGCTCGATGGGCACCAAAGCCAACAGTACATAGCCCGGCAATAGGGTGACAGTGTCCCGTGGCACGGGCACAACATCCTCGTACTCCTCTTCAGCCGCTTGTGACTTTTCTACAGACTTCTCAGTTTCGGATTCAGTTTTGGTACGCTTGTTGGGCGATGGGCCGTCCTCGTCCTCATCCTCAGCATTGGCTGACGCTTCATTGCTTTTGGCTGACTCTTTTGCCGCTGCCTCTGGTTCGGCAGCAGCCTCAGCATCAGGCACGCTGTCGCCATTGGTTACCGCTGCAGACTCAGTGGGCACAGCAGCTGTAGCTTCTGCCGCTTCCTCAGCTGAAAATGAAGAGAATTTTTTATCATAAATGTCACATTAATTTTACTGAATCAACTCACCAGGTTCCATTGCCTGATCCTGCGATGCAGCCTCCGCGCCCTCAGCCTGTTCTGCCTGCTCCGATTGCGACTCTCCCTCGCCGCCAGCCTCTTTGGACTGCTCATCTTCAGTGGGTTTACTGCTTGCATCTGCATTGGCGTCTGCCTCTGCCTCCGCAACTTTGTCGCCATCTTCCTCGCCCGCAGCTGGTTTCGCTTCATCGTCCTTCTTCTCGGGCTCATCATCGTCAGCGGTCGCCTCGTCCAGCACTTTCCACTTCTCACCATCGTTGTCATCGTCTTTATGCGACTCGGCACGTTGCTTGCGACGCTTGCGTGTCGGCCGTTCGGCATTGACGAGCAGCTCCTCGGCATTGGAGAAGTTCACTGTGTACTCGTAGCCCTTGGTGACAATATGCGGAAAGAGAGCACCGTCCTCGCCCAGACTGCTCTTCTCAAACTCATGGGCAATGCCCAGATCTTCGCCATTCAGCGTGTACCTGATGTTGCACGGCGTACTATCCAGATCCAAGTAGCATCCAATTACATCGTCCAGCTGATATGGTTTGCCATAATCTTTGAATTCGCCATTGTTGGCCTTTCGGCCGCTCTCGCAATAGCCATAGGAATGTTCAGCTTCGCCCAGCAACAGCGATGACTGCGGCGTTGAGAAGCCCACACGAAAGCCTCGCACATGCGGCTCATCACGGAAATGATGCGCATTCTCTGGCACAATCTCCTCCGACAATTGCACCTCAAAGCATACCTTGCCCTCGCGCACGCCGTAATTGGCGCGTGCACCAGACCAAATAAGTGAATAGATTTCCGGGGCCAATGGCTTTGCCGACGTAAAATTGGTGGAGTCAATGACCAAATGGATGTCAGAATCAACTGATGGGGAAAAGAAACAAATATAAATAAATTAATGAAAACATATTAGTATATATATTATTTAAAATAGAGCATTATCCAGAGCTTAGCTCTGATTAGCTGAGCTATTGAGGGTTTAAACGTTTAAAATTTCAGATCAGACTTCAGTTTTCACATCTTTATATAAGCTAAACTCTTGATGATCTAAATGTGCCAAACCGTAAAATCCTCCAAGATTTAATTTCATTTTCATTTTGATTAATAATCAATGTGTAAAGTTTTACTTACACCAACTGAGGCCCACTTTATTTTCCTCTATAGTGGGCTCATCCTCGACTACGGTGCGTTGCTCCTCCACAGCTGCACCACCTTTGGAGTCGCGCTTGTCGCCACTGCGACGTTTGGGTGAGCGCGAGCTGCTGCGCGAGCGAGTTTTACTGTGTGAACGTTTGCGTCGTTCGCTCGACTTTTCTTGCTCTTGCTCCGGTTGCTGTTGCTTGTCGTCCTCCTTGTCTGTTTTGGTTCCGGTGCCAGCATCATCATCCACATCCATCTTTTCACCATCGTTACCATTGGATTGGTGTGCGACTTTCTCCGCATCAGCATCAGCATCAGCATTAGCATTAGCATCGGCATCTGCATGTGCATCTGCATCTGCATCATTATTCTCTGCCTCTTGCGCTGCTGTTTCCGCTGGTTTGTTTAAATCATTGGAGTCTTCTTGATTTTCTGTATCCATAGTTGTGGGCTCCTCTGCCATAGCAACGTCTTCATCTTGTGTTGCTGTCGGTGCAGCAGAGTCCGTTTGCTCTTCTTCTTCCTCTGCGACCTGCTTGGCTTGATCTTCCGATTGCGCTTCCTGCTGTTCCTGTTCCTCTTCATGTTCATCCTCAACTTCCTCCACTTCTGCTCCTGAAGCAGACTCAACTTCCGGCTCGGCTCCATGGTGTTCCTCCTCCGCCAGAGTCTCTAGCTCTGGTTGAGTGGCAACTGGAGCTGCCGGCACCGGCGATGGTGATCGCGACATGGATCGCGTCCGACGCTGTCGGCGGCTAGGTGTAACTGGGGCGCCATCTGTCGTAAACGAAAAAAAAAAATGTAAATCTTATAAAATTCGAATTTGGGTTATATAAGGCGCGTTTACAACATACAAGATAAACACGTTGAGCCGAGTTACACGCACACACACATTGAAAACCGTTCAAAATTGTGTAGTACATATACATACATACATGCACGGACACACATTCATGCATTCGGGGCTACAGTGATGCATACATACACACACACACATGTACACATACTAGCTTACCTCCATCGCCGCCGCCGGCAGCAGAACCTTCCACATGTGCTCTCAAGCGCTCGATGAGCACTGCTTTTACACCTTTGGTATCAAGACCACGCGTTTGTAACTCGGTACGCAGGTCTACCACTTTCATCTTATCCAACTTCGCCAAATCCATTTTATCGCTTCAATCTTGAATGGCGGCAGCAGCGCGTCACGCACAAAAATATATACACACACACTCACGCGCACAACTGAGGCGAAATGAAAACGTATTATAGACGAAGTAAAAGCTATGCAATGAAAGCGCGTTTAGTTAGAAAACGAATTATTTTGTTGCTATTTCGCAAATATAGCGAATCAAATCAATTTTCGCAATTGCATTCGCATTTATTGCGAATAAATAATGGCTAAAACCTATACCGAGAACGCGTTGATGTGAAGTTGGCTGCGATTAACAATGTACGGAATGCTAAAAGCTATCGATGAGTTGAAATATGTTGCATCAGTAAGAGCACCTTTACGTTTAAGTTATCGATATGTGAAACTTTTCACGATATTGAAATTTGATTATATTCTATTATTTATTATATTTATTATAAATTGTCAAACTTTATAATTATGGAGAACAATATTGGCTGTACGAATGGTTGAATGGTTTAAGAAATGAAATGAATTTGCAGTAGTTTTCAACTTATAATATATGTTGCGGTAAGTTTTAGCTGAAAAAATATTCGTCTCAGCACTAACAAGTGGCATTTAATATTTTTCTCTTAGTGGCAACGCTATACAAATCTGGAAAATCTAAAATGTGGCAATGGAAGTAAAATATTCAATTTGCTGCCTCGTATTTGATGACTCCGTGGCGCAACGGTAGCGCGTCTGACTCCAGATCAGAAGGTTGCGTGTTCGATTCACGTCGGGGTCAAATGTGAATACTTTTTTTTTTATTTTCTAATTTTTAAAGGCATATTAAGATAAGTCGAAGGACCAAATGTTGAAGTGGTGGCGTCGCCGATAAGTAAAAGACCGGCTTGTAGTTTCCTCGTCTTTATTTGTAGATTAGAGCTGTGTCGCTCGTATAGTATTGTGAATATATATATGTATGCCAGGATAGGCAAGTGACAAGTGTGTGAGAGGAAGTACTCAGCAGGGCGCTCAGTACAGCGAACCAGTAGGAGAACTGGGTTATGTTATTAACAGAATGCTGTTAATAACATAACATTGTGTGGTGCGGGAGGAGCAATTCTTGTTAATGAGATTTGGCATTAACATACTCCCCCCCCTTGCAAGGATTGCAAATTAGGACGTCGCGTTTGAAGCTGGAGACCCTTTGGTGTGCGGATCAAAGCCGTCAGCGGAGCTGTGACCGCCTTTTTGAGAGCCGAGGCGGAGTGACGTGCTGATCCCTGGAGATGCAGGAGCGTGTGGTGATCCTGGCCACACGTTTTNAGCAGCGGTCCGAAGAGTATTGTCCCTATGGAGTAGGGTGTTATGTCGACCATTGCACGTGAAACAGTTGTGAGTACTGGTACACTCTCGTAACTGGTGATCTAAATTTATTGTTTTTTTTTTTTGTTTTTTTTTTTTCTTTTTTTAAAGAAAAAAACTTTGCTCTATCTATAAAATGGATCATTGTTAGTTTACTTTGTTAACCTTTGCGCTATGCCACACCTGCTCAATAATCGATTTAGTTGATCAGGCATACAACGTTTTGCCAATTAGTAAGCTTAAATTAAATGTGACAGTACAATTCATTGTTAAATGAAAAAAAAAAAAATAAAAAATTACGTATAACTAAGAAACAGTCAAAACTATTGAGTGATCAATTTTTGAGAGATAAAATATATTGATTTATGTACATATATAAATAAATATACATAAATATGTACATATATATATTAAAGTATATATTTTCTCATATATTGCATATATAGATTTTTTTGTTATCTGAAAAAGGTATTACTAATTAATTTAGACTGCTTCTTAGTTAAGCAAGGAGTACTAATAAAATAAAGGGATAACTTTATTGCCCTTGCATATATCATACTTGTATAGTAACGATCCGATTCAAAAAGTTTATTAAACAAATATACTCTTTTTACATTTTGAGCGAGTAAAACTACTATGAATATTTACCGCTTATTCATGTGGTAACACGAAAAGTCTAGAAGGAAGTTGCCCTTAAACTGCACTTTACCATATAGGAAATTGAAATTGATATCGAATCTACAGCTATTTCATAAAAAACACGTATTTTTCAACTTGATCTATTTGCATTAGTCGAACTCGCTGCGACCTTAAAAGGCTACAGAAATATCACGAAGCTTTCATATTCATATAATAACACCCACAATCATTTTTATTTTTGTGTCATTTCACAATTGTTTTTTATTAAAAATAAAAATAAATAACTCAAATACAACGCTTATGTTAATTTCAATGCAAAACTCAAGAGAACATGAAATTTATCAAGATTGTGATTAGTGTGAAGATCAGATAGGATAATAGATCTCATAAAAAGCTCTGTTAGTACAATACAAAACATTCACAATTCACTTTCAATATCCATTTCCTCCTGCCCGTCTCACTGCACCAACTTGAAGCGATTGGCCTCGGCATAATCCCTCGGATCGGAGAAGTTTCGCTCCGGCTTGATGCGCACATCGTTCGGATCGTTGACGAATTCACCACTCCAAGTCGTTGGCAATATGGTCGGATCCGTATTATATTCGAAATAGTCCTGATCATCGGAACGATTTCGTTCAGGCTTAGTGCGTGTCTCGCCGCTCTTCACAAAGGTGCCATCCCAAGCCGTCGGCAGGACAATCGGTTCCGTATTATAGCCATAGAAATTGTTTGTATTTGTCACGTTCTGATTCTGGCGACGTATCTTGGACACATTATTCACAGCTCCATCGGGATACACGAATTTCCCGTTCCAGCCCTCACACTTAATGGGTATATATTCCTCTTTCTTCCGTAGCGGCATTTTTTCTCAGCTCGATCTCGACTTGGCGCGTTTCAAAATTCGATTGAACTGAAGCGACGCCAGCAATATTCTAAAATATGATTTCACACAGGTGTGTTTGTGTGTGTGTGAGAGTGTGTGTGTGTTGCCAATACCTTGGCAAATTGTAAATGATTATTATTGTTGACTGTTTTGTTGTTGTTGCTGTTCAACCCACACTTAATTTCAGCTAATGACGTCATATATCACTCAGACGTTTGTTTTGTTTGCTTTCTGTAGACAAAACGGGTTCGCTGTCTCAGCTCTGAGGCAGCCTCCTCCACGGCTTTGCATATCGCTTAGGCAGTGCCAATGACAACAGTACTAGACGATTTTTTGTTTTCGCCGTTTTCGCTTTACCATATAAGCCGACAAATTAAACAGGCTACATCTCACCCAGCTACCTAATAGGTGAGCTTACGGTTTCGCAAGTTGTCTGCAAGCCAAGCTAAATACGCTAAATTTCATATGAATGTAGGGTATACTTGATTTGTGTAGATGTATATTACGGGTAGAAGAAAGGCTACTATGTATACAATGTATAATCCAGATGATTCGCTCTTCTGCTCGTATGCCCCTCCATTTTTTCATCTGTCTGTCCATCCTTTTATCCTTTATTTTGTCTATCTATTTTTTGGTCTCTCCTTTTGACCATCCATCCGTCAGCTCGTTCGTTTCTCCGCCCGCCCGTAAATCTATTCATCCATCTGTATAACCTTTCATTTGTCTCTCTATCTGGTTAGCTTTCAGTCCCTCAATCTCACTCTGTCTCTCTTTCTCTTTCTTTCTCTCTATCCTCTCCCTTTCTATCTTCACTCATCTGTCCATTACTTTGGCATAGGGTATCTGCTAGTCGCTCTTAGCTCTTCTCATATTTTGTTTTCTATTTTTAATTTGCCTATTCTAATCGACTTTTTAATCTTGATTGCCAGCATTTGACTGATTCATACGTCGCATAAAATAAAGTCATAAAAATTGTATTTCCTTATATAGACGATGGCAAAGATTTATTTATTGTTGTTAACTTGATCAATTTGCTGTTAGAATATAAATACATATGTACGATTCGGAAGTAATTGAAAATAAGAGCGAACAGCTTAACAAGAAAACAAATTGTGCACAGTGGGGCAAATGCACAGCATTTTTGTGGCATTTCATAATGAATTCAGAAGCTGGTCAAACTTGACTTGAAGCAGCTTTCTAATTAGCTTTTAGAATTAAATAGTTGCAAATAAATATTTAAAAAATAAGAATTTGTATAAATTTGTGTCTACGCTCCTACAATTGATATGTATATATTCTTGATACTTTATTTATTCTTGTTCTAATGAGTTGGATTAACGATATTTGTTAATTGATTCAATTAAATAAAGCATTATATTAGTATAACAAAAAATTTTTTTAAATCATAATAATAAAATAATTTGTAAATAAATTAAGGATTACGGACTAAGGATTGTTGCCCATTGATGAAATTTTTAAATATTAGCTAAGTAATTTTGATTTATAATTTAGAGTTTGATTGATAGTATCAATCAATTTGATACATAAAGTAAATAAAATTTATAATTATAATAATCTAAGCTAGTTCCATGTTCAATCTAACGTCAATTCCAAATCCCAACTAGTTCCGATTGGTTCACAATTCGGTTCACAATTTGATCGATATTTAATTGGAGAGTGTAGCAAGTTTATAGGCAACACGTCACACATTAACAAATCATACCTTATTGACCACCTGTTGTTTCAGTGCCACACGCACGTAGGTAACGTTAAACCCGTTACACTAATTAAAACTCGTAGCAGAAAGCAGAGAAACACCGCAAAGGGCCAAGCGCAAAAAAGCTTTTTGCATCCGCTCGCCCACACAGCGAGGCACGCGAACTGCTGCTGCTGCTGGTGCTGCTGCTGCTGGGTGGGTGGCTTAGGGGCAATGCGTGGCAGGCTTACAACAACATGCCACAGCGACGACAATGTTCGTCCCTCGCTCGCCGACCGCCAAGCAGCAGCAACAGCAGCAGACGGCGGCAGCGGCAGCAATTTCTATCCGCTGCTCGTTAGAAGAAGCGATGTCGACTACGCTGGTCGGCAACAGTTTGAAAGTTTTTCATGTCGTCGGCGTCGGCTTGCCTCCCAAAGTTGCCTGTGCCTCTGCGCTGCTTCTTCTGCCTCTGTCCGTGCCAGCGCCAGCGCCTGTTGCCAGTTACCAGTTGCCAGTTTCGACGGCTCTGCATTTGCTGTGCGCCTAGTTGAAAATCCAACTAATTGCTTATTTTAACCCCTTCAAAACTGGGCACACACACACACACATACACAATGGGCCTTGCCTGGCCCGGCTTTCGTGTTTATTAATTAACAACACAAAACCCCAAACTCACAAAGGCAGCACACACAAACACACACACACATGCATATCCACAGACACACACACACACACACACACACACACATACACGTACGCACGTACACAGCTTAACCGAAGTGTTGTCTCCGGCATTCATTAGTGTTCATTAGTGAAACAAAATGCTCATTTACTTAACTACTCCCGGGCTCGTAACGAGCGTCCCATCTCTCTCTTTCTCCTTTCTGTGTGCCACTCACTCACTCACCTACTCACTCACTCACCCACTCTCTCTCCCTCTCTCTGTTTCGCTCTTTCTACCCGATTGCTGCACTCACTTATCGGCACTCGGTCGGAGTCACTCCGTTCCTGCTCTTGGCTCTTGGCTCTTTTCACTGGCTGCTGCTGCTGCTGCTGGTAGTTGTTGTTGCTACTGCCGCTCTTATGTTGCCAATTAAAATTCCATTTATGCCAAGTTAACTCACTTGGCTCGTTAATTGTTGTGGTTTTTTAATTGGACCCTTTTCGGTGCTGCTGAAATTGAATTGAATTGAATTGAACAACAAAAAGAACAATCGCATGAATGGCAGCGACTCCGGCATGGACTATATTCACCTCCAATGCCCAGGCAGTTCTACCTACGTATACATATATATACCTGAGCTATAGAGACCGGCACTGGCAGTGCCACTTCAACTATGGTGCAATGTCATTGAAGACCACCAAAACCTTCCCACTCTCTGCACTGTTCCATTGGGCGCGCTTATTCGTTGAGATTCATAGGGTTGCCAGGCTGTACTAAAAATACGCCAAATTTTATTAATTTGTCCGTATTTGTTATAAACAAATATAATAAATAAATTTT